ATTTTCCTCATCATCATCATCATCAGGATTCTGAATTTTTTAAATTTTTAATAATTTTTTTTTTTTTTTTGAAGAATTTTCTTTCCATTTTCAACCGACTATAACGACAGCAGCAGCCAACAAAAAAAAATGGATAATTATACATATTTGAATCATCAGAAATGTTTTTGGGAAAAACTGAATGAATGAATGAATGAAAAGTTGGCTTCACTGTCATAAATGTATATATACCTTTTGATATATGACTAACCAAAATGTTGATGATCAAACGACTAATTATATGTTAAGTGATGAAAATTTTATTCATTTGACACCGTCATCGTTGTCATTCCTCCTTGTTTTTTGTTTTTGTTTCGATCATATCATTTGGCGAGTGCAAATTTTTGCTGAAGAAATTTGAATCCCAGAAAAGCAAAAAACACCTCGAAATTGATTAAATTCATTCGGTTGGTTGGTTGATTTTGTTTTGGTTTCAAAAGCGAAAAAAAATTCTGGTTTTTTTTTCTGGGAAACTATTTCAACACAACCTGGCCAACACAGCAATCAAGATATCAAAAAATTACCTTATTTTTTTTCAATACACTACTTTTACCTGTGTGTTGCGTTGAATGATCGATGTTGATGATCATAATCATCAAGCGAAAAACAACAAAACAAAAAACTTCATATCAACAATGTAATAATAATGTAACTTTGAATGATGATTGCAACTTTTTTTTGATTGTTTCTGGGTGCAATCAACCAGCCAACCAGATAATGATTATGATGGAAACAAAAAAAAAATTAAATTTCTAAAAAAACGAGAAAAGAAATTTCCCGATAAATTATTATTATCATCGTCGTCTTCGTCTTCATCATCATCAACATCGTTTTAAACAAGAATCATTATCATAATGATGATCGTGATGATGATGAAATTGATCAAAAGAGAGAGAAACTTTTCGTAAATGTTTTTTTTTCTCCTGAAAAGTGAAAATGATGATGAAGATGATGAGAGACGGAAAACTTTTTCTGATCATCATCAACAACATTTAATTCGATAAGTTGTTAACAACAACAACAATGATAATCAATAATTTTGGAAGGAAAAATATGTTGTTGTTGTTGTTGATTATAGCGCCGACAACAACAACAACAACAATAGCTGAAAAAAAGTTAATGTTTGATGATCATCAGCAGCCATATCCATTTTTTTTTTTTTTTAAAGTTTCTCTAAACATTAATGCAGCCATATTTCTCGGGAAACTTTACAGCAACTTTTATTACACAGTGTTCAGAGCAACCATATTGTATTTCTTTCGTTTCTGGGATGATATAAATCAAAAATCTGGAAATTTGAATTTATTTTGGGTTTTGAATTTTTTTCTTTTTGAAAACTTGTCATAATTCATCAACATCATCCGTATGGATCATTCTGAATTTTGGTTGTTGGTTTTTTTCTTTTGTATACAAAGATGAAGAATTGATTTTGCTGATTGAATTTGAAAAAGTCAAGAAAAGAAGAGAAAAAGCCCAAAAGGAATGTTTTAAAAAAAAGAGAGCGAATATATTCCCCTGTCAAAAATTTGGTTGCCTGGTAGATTTTTGAATCAGAAACTTTTTACTGCTGCTGTTGGTTGATTTTGATTTCTTTTTTTTGGAAATTTTCCTGAATATTTTTTCGAAAAATGAAACAAGAAAATGCCAAATCAAAAATAAAAAGCTAAAGCGATGATGAAATTGAGAATGCAAGCAAACAACTGCCAATTGCAATTGAATTAAGTGAAGTGAAACAAACAAACTCTTGAAAATGAAACTTTTTTTCAATTGGAACGCGTTCAAAAGCAAAAAAATCAAAAAAAAAAACGTTTCTCTATGGCAATTTTGACTATTTACACTTTATTTACATTGAATATTATCACTTATTTTTTATTTCTTGTTTGTTTCAGATTCTTGATTTCAAAAGAATCTTGGCTTGACAACAATAGAGGGAGAAAGTGGAAAAAAAAGTTGCAAATTTTGCCAAACAACAATTTGAAACAACAGAAGCAGCAAGCTTAAAAAAATCATTTGATATTTGTTATGCAATATGTGTGTGTGTGTGATTTGATGTGCAAGAAAAATATTTTTCTTCCAGAAAAAAAACAACATAGCTGAGGGGAGAAAATGGAGTAATCAAATTTTCAAAAAAAAAAAATAAATATTTTTCAATAAAAATCCTATGGAAACTTGAATAAAGAAAATGGAAAAAGATTTTCATGGATCGAAATAGTCGTTTTGCAGAAGAAAGAAAAAAAAGTCAACCTGAAATCAACTGGACATTTTTCCTTTTAAAATGATGTTGTTTTCTCATGAAAATTTAATGAATTTTAAATTTTTTTAGTGAAAAAAGTTTAATGCATGTTGCATATGCATTAAACATGATTATAATTTTTTTTTTTTGGTTAAATGTTTCCACAGGGTATCATATCATTATTATACTTTTTTGAAACGCAAGCAAACATCATCATTATCACAGTAATACTGTGTGTATGGAATTAAATGACTAAATAACTTTTGTGAATAAAAGAAAAACAAACTGAATATGATTCCTGAAAATGACAAAAAAAAACACAACATAATAACAGTAGTAATAATAATCAGGTATCATTATCAAGTTTTTTGGCCAAAATGTAATCATCATTATCAAATTGATGTTGTTTGGAAAGGAAACAGCAGCAGCAGCAGCAGAAAAATGAAAATCTCTCCAAGGATTACATATATGGATTCCATTTAAAATTTTTGTTTTTCCCCTGTTGTTGTTGTTGTTGTTGATAATCATCATCAACGACATATATAATTCCATTATGAATTGATATCCATTAATGACGTTACTTTTGTTGTTGTTGTTGTTGTTGTTTTTTCTCATGATATTTATAAAATAAATATGATTAAATGGTTTTTTTTCTGTTTAATTTGGCCAATCAACAACAACAACAACAACAACAACAACAACGAAAACAACAACAACAAATAATTAATGTTGACATCGACTATATATCGACAATCATTGGTTGTTTTTCAAATGGATAGGATTTAATCAAATTTACCATTATTACATATCATTGATGATGATATGACCCGATTTTTGTTATTTGGTTATTTGTTTTTTTTTTGGTTTTTTTGATTGATTCAATCAAATTGATTGGGAAAACAAATTCAAGAATATTCTGTTTCTAATCAGGAAAAAAGAAAAACTGACTGACTGACTGACAGCTCAAAACATACATGCACACACACAAAAAACAATCTTGAAGAATTTGGTTTAAAAATAATGAAAATAAAAATCAAGAAAAAGAAAACTTACCTGACCAGTAAAACTTTCATAATCATCTTCATCAGCTTCAGCTGCAACAAGATAATATGTTGATGCTGTCCAACAATAAGAATTAACATAACGTGCTTGTGGTTCAGTAAAATATGTTGGTGTAAAACATTCAATTGGATCACCAATATATTGTTTTGTAAATATTGGTAATGCTAAAAATAGGAAGACAAGTAATGTATATTTCCGGTTTAATTTATCTACACCATCATCGACCGGAACATGTATTCCGCCAATTAAATCGTGAAATCTATTTAAATCATTATCATTATCATCATTCGATTTGGATGATGTTTTCAATGTTGAATAAACCACACAATGATAATGATAATGATGATGATGAAAAGTTGTTGTTGTTGTCATTTGATGAACGGGGAAAAAGGAACGAGAAAGGAGAAGAGAAGAGAGAGAAAAATATTTTTGATTAAATCATGATTTCAATTAGTAAAATTTTGCAAAAAGAAAAGTTATGATCAATGATGTTCAATCGAATGATGGAAAATCAGAAATCAGTAAAATCAGAAAAGGTAGTCAGAGAAAGTTTTCAGGAATAGTGGCAGGCATATATGAATGAATGAATGAAAAAAATTAAAGATTATTTTTTCAATTGAAATTCTGGGAGAAAATTTTGATCAGAGAAGTCCTTTGAGAAATCAACTAAGAAAAAAACAACAGCTAAGAAAATTTCCAAAATTCCGAATGTCAAGATTCGTGTGTGTGCGAGTTTGAATATTCCAATGTGCAAATGCGTTGCGGCAGCCAAAATTAATCAGATCAGTTTGCAAAAAATTCAAAGCGGTGTAAAATTGAATTGAAATGAAAAAAAAACTTAATTTTCCAGAAAGAAAAAGGATGCATTTCGGTATAATATCTTATTAACAAAATCCAAATCAAGAACGTAATTGGATGCGGAGAAAAAAAAAATTGAGAAAGTTTTTTGTAAAAGTTGGAAAAAAAATTTATGCTAACTAGGATAGATCATCTGGATCCTTTGTGGATTTTCTGCTAAAAAATAAGCATCATTTTGTCATTCAAAAGCAAAAGCGAAAAAATTCAAAATGCGCATGACCATTTCCAATAATAATAATGATAATTTATCACGCCGAATGTCAACTTTGTTTTTGTTTTGTTTTTTTTCTGAAAAAATTCAAATTTAATTGTCAAATCAATTAGACACATAAACACACAGACACACAGAAATGCAAAAACACAGATTGAATAAATGAATGAATGAATGAAAAAATAATGAGATAAAAATGAGAATGAATTTTCGTTTTGTCAGGTTTTTCTTTTCTTCGTTTGAAATATTTCAATTTTTTTATGAAACAAAAAAGCTAATTTGAAATTAAAATTTTTGGAAAGATTCCTCATCGTGTTTGGCTGATGTGTGTGGCATATGATTTCGATTGATGTGCATTTGGGTTTTTTTTCCAGTGTGTGTTTTAATTGAAACAGATTTCCTTTTTTGTTTCTTGGAAAGTTTCTGAATTTAACAAAAAGTTTCTCACTTTTTTTTACGATAAACGATTGATTATCGATTTTTTTCGGGGTTTCCTGCCAATTTGATAAATTATGCATGCAAATATTGCATGATCTGTGTTTATTTGTGATTAGAATTTTTAATTTTTAATTTTTTTTCAAAAAACATTTAAGCCAAGCAAAGCCAAACAAAGAATTTCGATAACAAACTAAGTACGATAACAAACAAAAGCGTCAATGTTGAAAAGTTGTAAACAGATGTTTTGAAATGAAATGTTTTAAAAAAATGAAATATTTTTTTTGAAATTCAAAAAAAAATGGATATTCATAGAAAAAAAGAGTAAACAAAAACAAATGAAAATGACCAAAATGATATCACCTACAATGAATTGGTTTCTTCAAACTTTAAAAGCATATTGTGAAATGATGTTGGATGATTTTGATGATGTCGGCTCATCATAGTCATCGAGGAAAACAACAAAAAAAAATGTTTTTTAAAAAAAATGAAAAGATACGTAGTACGGTTAGTTTTTGGTTAGTTTTGTAATGAATGAACAGGAAAATAGCGTTAGAAAGAATATGAATATTCCAAACGATGACCATCGGTCGAATGTTTTAAAACGAATTCAATGATAAGGATGGTTATTTGTTATTTATATCAGGCACCAATATCCAATTATCAGATAAATAAGCTCATAGAATTTATGAATGATGTATATATAGGGTGTTCTTTTTTTTGCTCCACAATTTATTTAATACGATCTATTGGTTGACGCCATCATACATTACCATTATTTTATCCATATGATAATATTGATCCGAAAATTGAACGAAATTTTGTAAATATAAAAAGAATAGAAAAAACATCAAATTTTGGTCAAAAACTTTCAGGCGAAAATCATAACGAAGCAAAGCTTTTTTTATCTTTGGTTGTTTGGCAGAAATCATTTGCGAAAAGCAAAAGTGAAAAATCGAAAAAAACAAAGCGAAAAAGGCAAATTAAGTAAAGAAGCAAAAAAAACAAAAAATTCGTTTGTTATTATTCCTATTTAGGCAGTCTAATCGGATCACAAAAAAAATCGATCTATCGATCGATCGATCACATCAATCAATCAATCACATTTATTTTTTGGTTTCTTCTGAATGGACAGCACAATTAGACATTTGAATTTTATTTTTGTTTACAAAAAAAATAGAAGCTTATGAATGTGTAAAAGCGAAACACAAAAAACAAAAGCTACTGAAAAGCAAAAAAAATTGTGATTCTTGGTTTATGCATGAACTTTGACCCTGTGTTGTTCATTGCTAATCGTTAATGTAAACGATATATGGTGGTTTGGTGATTCGGTGTTTGATGCATCCATAAAATTAGAAATTTCATAATAACAAATCAACAACAAGCGCAAATTCAATCCGATTCAAATCAAAGACAATCCACAACAACAACAGCAACAATATCTACGATGAAGCAAAACAAAAAACAAAACAAAACAACATCATTTTCATAATCAAATCTATCTACCATGGTCTAATTTGATGAAATTTTGTTTTTCTGGTTGCAAAATTCAATATTTTTTGTTTTTCGAAAAAAAATCTAAGGAAAATTCAAAGAAGAAAAAAATAATACATACTGCACTAAGCGGAAAAGGAAAGACATCGTATTTGGCTCGTGTCTTGAGCTCGCTACGGCCGAGACGCCCCTGTGTAAATCCAGGACCGGTAATAATAATGATGATGTTGTTGATTGTTGATTATTATTCGGATGATTATTATTATTATTATTTGTTGTTGTTGTTGATGTTTTTGTTGATGATTGATAATAATGTTGTTGTTGTTGATTATTAGCAAATGTTACGTTTTGTTGTTGAAATAAACGTTGACTATAACGACGTAATTGATGATTATAATGATGATAAGATCTTGATAATCTTGTTGAACGATGATTATAAATTAATGATTCTGGATGAAATCTAATTGTTGTTGTTGAATATTGTTGTTGTTGTTGCGATTGTTGTTGTGAAATTAAATCCGATGATGAACGTAATGGATGATTAACAGCTGTTGCTGTTACAACAGTTGTATTATGTGAATAACAAGATGATTGCGATTGTGATTGCGATTTTGGTGAATTTATTAATAATAAATTTGGTGATGGTGTTGTTGAAATAGTATTTTCCAAATTATCAACTTGAATTGATGGTGGTGGTGGTGGTTGCGGTAATTGCGTCAAAGTTGACGCAACTTGATGATGATGATGATCACAATGATGAGCTGATGATTTTTGTCCAAATTTAGAAAAAAATTGCCGTATAGCTAAACTTGCTGATAAAAATGTTGTTGGAAAATTTGTCGATGCGGTTGATGATCGTCGTTGTGTTAATGTTTTTGATTGATTTTCATCAATCGATAATAATGTTGTTGATGATTTTTTCGTTGATGTTGATGGTTGATTTGATGATTTATTTTTTCGTTGTTGTTGTAATGATAATAGATTACTTGTACTACTTGTAAAACATGGATCTTGTTCACCAATATTTGTTAATGATGATCGATGTAATCGATGACGATTATGATGATGATGATGATTTAGACGATGGTGATGATAATGATGATGATGATGTTGATGATGGTCACTTGTAGTAGCCCGATGATATACCGATGATGATGATGATCCACATCCGCATTCAGTACAACAACTGTTACTACTATTTTGACTTTTACCACTACTACTGCCGCTACTACTTCCACTTGAATTACTATGAATACTAGCCGGATTACTTGCCAATGATAATGATGTTGATGATCGGCTTGAAAGCCGTATTTGTTGTGTTGAAACCGAACTTGGATTACTTTCACCGATTAATACACTATTATGGCTACTATCACACGATGATGATGATGATGATAATGCCGATGATTTTGAACATCGAATTTTATTTTGAAATGTTGTCAATTCTTGTTGTTTTTCTGTTTGCGGTTGTTGTTGTTGTTGTTGTTCACTTTGATTATCGTCAAGAATAACAATAATTTCTTCAGTCGATGATGATGATGTTATTGTTGAAAATAATGGTGGTGGTGGTGGAAGTGATTCAAAATAATCTTCCGGTGCTGGTTGTTGATTAATTTCAGTAGCTGTGTGAGAGATAATTGTTGTCAATATCGATGATGATGATGGTGATGGGACAACAACATCGGCAGTGATCGTAGCAATAGTAGCAGTAGTATTAGACGAGGAAACGCCGGCGGTAGTAGTGGCAAACGTAGCCGGTAATATTGATGATGATGATTGAAGATGTTGTGATCGATGTTGATGATATTGATGATGATGGTGATGTTGATGGTGATTTGGATCGATGACTGATGACGATGATGGTGATGGTGATGATGATGGTAAAGATGATGATGATGATGAATCCTCAATCGTGTTGCCGGTTATTCCGCCGGTTTTATCCGATTTATCGTTAAACAAGGCCGTGGCGGCAAATTTACGTAAACGTTAACTACGTATTTTTTCCAGTATAAACGCATCAATAAAAAACATTAACAATTTGTAATGTTAGTGGTAGCGTTTTTTTTCTGGAAAAAAGTAGTAATTTGAAAAAAAAATTCAAACTGAAAATTGATGATGGCAGTGTTGAAGAAAAATGATTGAAGATAATAATTTCCAGAAATATTAATCAAATATGGCAGATAGATGGCAGCACTAGTATCAGGAATAATCAGAAAAAAACGATATAAGAAAATTAAGATTAGAATGGATAATGAAAGATGCTTTGAAAATTTAAAAATTCAAACTTTCAACGTATAAACCGTTGAATACAAACCGAAAAAAAGGAGCGAAAAAAATGCAAGTATTTTTTTTGATACGGCCAGGTAAAAAAAGGCAGCTTTCAAAATTTAGTTGAAAAAATGATGATGATGATGATCGAGGTGTGTTTGGTGTGAGCAAAAAAAAAAAAAAAAAAAGTTAATCAATGATTCAATGTTTTCAGGGGTTAAGATATTTTGGCTGTCCTTGTAGTAGCAACAATAATAATAATCGATAATGATGATAATAACAACTGCAGCAGATTTTTAACAAAAACAACAACAACAATATTGATAAAGTCAGCAATAAAATTCGTAATATTTGATCGATGTTGATGGCCGTCCATAATTGTAATTGTAATAATATTTTGCACTTTGGCACATTTATTTGTAACCATTGATGATGATGATGATGATGATGATAATAATGTTGATAATACATTTCGTTTTTGTTTTATAATCATTATTATAAATTTATTTAAATTATTATCAAACAAATTATTATTATTGTTTGATGATTGATGATCCATCATCATTTTTTCATTTAGTTACGGATAGATGGCGTTCACACACAATAATGTAATTCTGTCCTGTTTGGGTGGAAATAGAATAGAAAAGAAAATACAGAATCGAATTAGAAAATTTTGTTTCACAATTTAATCAATTGAATTGAACAACTAAATAACTAAATAATAATCATAAGGAAGCTTGAAATTGTCAAGTTTTTTTTGGATTCAGGTTCTGGTTTTTTTTGGTTTTAGTTTTTCTGGTTAATGAACAAGAAAAACAAAAATGTTAATTATAATTATAAGGTTTCTTTTTGATTATTACACCATTGAGTTCATAATTCATCACAAAAAAATTATGAATCGATAATTTCAAGTCAAGGCTACTGGGAAAGATTTTTTGTTTTTGTTTTTTTTTTGACTAAATTCCGAATTGAATTGCCTAATTATTCTCGACATACACACACACATGCCGGGTATAAATTTCATTTGTAAAGTCCAAAAATCGAAATTGTCATGTCATGTTTCCCGAAAACTTTCCCGAAAAAAGAGTTAATTGTCTGTTGTGTGTGTTGACAATAATTAGATCTATTCCAAATTTAGAACCACTACTACTACTACAAAAAAAAATGAAGGTAGGGCGGGTTAATGAAAAAAAAATTCCCGTAAATTTTCCCTTCCCCCAATCACGCACACCATCATCATCATCATCATCATCAATATCACCCCTTTTGTTTCACAAAAAAAAATATCTTTTCTCACTCACTAACTAACCCAACTAACTACTATTATCGATGACAAGAATTGTTTCATTTTTTTGTTTCATTACAGGTTGGTTGATTGTAATGATTTTTTTGGTAATGATGAATTTTCAATTGCATTTTTTGGTAAAACCTAGAAAGAATCATGTGGAGCTGATGATGATTTTTATTATTATTATTATGTAATATCATCATCATCAGTTTTGATTCTTGATTATCTTCTGGTTCTGGAATTGTAGCCATAACCGATTCAATTCATTCATTCAGTGGATTCATTCGATTCTACTGGGTAAAGGTGTATATAACGAACAAACGCAAGGATTATCATTTGAAATGAACCCAAATAATAATCATTAAATATACGAATCACGTTTTTCTTTTCTATCTTTTTATTATTATTATTTTGTTGCTGTTTTTTCCCCTTTTTTTGTTGTTGTTGTTGCTGTATTACTAAAAAATAAAATGAAATTAATGGCGTGTGTTGTATAGGTGGAAATAGGTGCCCCATTCCCCTTTTGCCATTTTTGATAAAGGATTAACCTGGATCTTTCTGTTCATTTTTTGACCTATTCTAAATTCCGAAACAACAACCAGAGTGTTAATGATGATAATTGTCGACCCCGTAACATACAAAGTAACAGTGAAAATCAATCAATCAATAAATAATATTATTTTTTCATTGATACATCATATTTGAATATTGTTATTCAAATTAGATTAACAACAACAACAACAACCTGAAAAGCTTTCAAGGTTTTCTTTAATGATCCATAAATTTACCGAACCAACGAAAAAAACCCCAGAAGAAAAATTATCATTATTTTCAAATTAGTCTTGCTGCTGCCAATAATCATTATTATTCACTCTCGGTATATACTCTTTTGTTAACCTTTTTGTTTAATCACCGGCAATCTTCATATATGAAACATATGGAAATGTAATCAGCCAACCAAACCAAACCATCAAAGGAAAGAATCGATTAATCAAAACCAAAAAATACCCGAATATACCCGGCAGCGGTAATGTGATCATTTTCATCATCGGGTTGAAAATTTTTTGAAATGAAATTTTTTTCGATTAAAATCAATCACACACATACATACATATCGATGTGATTAATCGAATCAGTTTTCAGTTTCTTTGATTTTTTTCTTTTGAATGGCAAAAATTACATTCATAAAAATAATGTCATCGATTTGATTGATTCGATTCGATTCTTTTCGAATTGGATTGGTGGAATTCTCTTTAATAACCAAAAAAATTTGCCTCCAAGCAACTTTTTGACAAACAAACACTTTCCTTTTTTGATTTGAAAATCAAAAAAGAAAGAAAATCTGATTGATTGATTTTCCATTGGGCATAATTTTTCGTTTGTTTCACGGCTGCTTCAAAAAACGAAAAACAGGAAAAAAAATCGATACGAATTGGAAATTGATCTTGGACCAGAGAGAGTAGAAACAAACAGACAGAATCTTGAACAACAAAAATATGGAATTTCAAAGCAAAACAGGAAAAATTTTCAAATTACGTGCTTTGTTGTTGTTATTTTGTCATCATCTCTTTTTCACTTTTTTCACTTTTTTCACTTTTTTTGCTTGCTCGATACATTTATTTCTCAGAAAACAACAACAACATCGACGATATCGACGATGATGATGATAAATCAAAAAGTATCAATTTCCAATTATGTTCGGATGATGTACATCTTTTTTGTTTTACTTATCAAAACTAAGCAAAAACAAAACTCCCCAAAAGAAAAACTTCCCAACAAAAAAAAAAAGAATAAATGTTCCATTTCTATTTCTACTGAATCTTCTTCGTTTTTTTTGCTAAATTGCACACACACACTATGGCTGGTAAATCTGAAAATTTATCTTTGTTGTTGGTAGTTGGTTGGTTGTTTTGTTTGTATTTTGGTAAAGGACGATTGATTTGTCATTCGGTTGGTTGTCTTTGTGTGTGTAGTTGAAGAAGAATCTATCAATAAATCTTGAAAATGGAATCTGGATGTGAACGTCAGAAGAAACAATGTGAAGGAATCTCCTTATTCTGATGATGATGATGGTCATTAACTTTCGATTTGTCTTTTTTTTTCTCTGTTGTTTTGGCTAAAAATCAATGGATATCTATCTATCTATCTATCTACAGACGAAGCGATCGAAGAGCAAAATCGAATCGAATTTCAAAATTTCTCGTTTTCGTTTTCTTGTTGTGAAATCAAGTGTCCTTTGTTTTCAAGAAAAAAAGCAAGAGAGAGAGAGAGAGAGAGAGAGAGAGAGAGAGAGAGTTAATTGCTCATTGTTGTTTGGATTCTCAATGATGATGATCATCATCGTCGAGAATCTTTCTGATTGTCTTTTTCTACCGAAAATAAGCAAAATGATTGTTTGTTGTCTTTTGGAAAAAGGGGTAATTTTGTTTGTCTGCTATTCTGTTTGTCATTTTATTTATGAATGGTTTCGAATGAAGATTACATACATTAGTTTTTTTTTGTGGAGCAAAAAAAAAACGATGCTTTTTGCGATCGATCATCAATCGATTGATTGATTTAAAATGTTTTTTTTTTCGCTTATTCGCTTGCCTGCCTTCTTTTTGTTTTTGTTTTTTTTGTTTTCATCATTTTATCGAATGAATTTTGTATTTTAATGCTGAAAAAAAACGTAAAACAAAACGAAAAACAAGAAACGAACAAAGCAACCATTTAAACTAAATACATTTAATGTTGGCTGGCTGACTGGGTGGAAATAGTTTTTTTTTTGTTTCTCAAAATGGATTCTAGCCAACAAATGAGGCAACAAAACAAAACAAAATAGAAACAAAAAGCCAAGCTACTTTCATCGAAACGAAAATGTTTCGAATCGAAATTCTGGTGGGGGCGTTTTTTCCACCAAAAAAGATGATTTTCATGTCCATTGAACTTTAAAATAGAAAAATAGAAAAATTTTTCTGGAAATAAAAAAAAACGAATAAAATCATCATCATATTGATGATGATGATTGTTTTCGGGAAACTTTTTTTTGTTCTGCCCGAAATAAAATACGAAAACTTTTATCTTTATCATGATCATCAGCGAAAAAAGAGAAACAAAGCAAAAACAAAGAAGAAATTTGAGACATTTTGTTTTTTCGATCATCATCATCGATGGAGATAATGATGACAATCATCATCATCATTGATCGATGATGATCGTCATTATTATTCGGTTTAAAGCGAATATTAAGCGGAGGGAAAAAAAATAAGGGAAAAAGCAACAAACAGCATTTATTTATTAATTTGAATCAATGGATGATCATTATTATCATTTTCGATGAAAGTTTTTTTCGTTTGTTGAAACGTCTAAATCATGTTTATTAATAAAAAAAATGATAAGATGAATTCCGAACGAAAATGAAAACATTCAGCTGTTTCACACATTCAAGAGA